TACTAGTTTCTCTAGCTACGTAAATGTGTAATAATTTCGATGGTAGGAATACATATTTTTTATATTTTTTTTTTTTTTTTGTAAAAAAATGGAAATGGGTAATTTTTAAGTACCTACAATCTACACAGTGGCGTGCTTGCTCAGTTTTTTTGAAAGAGGAGATATTAATTTTTGACTTGTCACAAACCCGTGGGGGCTTCGCCCCTACCATCTTACATTGAATATGTATTTTTATTTTTATTATTATCCCCCTGAACAATTTAATAGACACATTCTAATCTCCAACTTTACTCTTCACATTTTTTAATTTAGGTTTTCAAAAACATTAATAGAACATTTTTTTCYAATTTCTAAATACATTATACACAATATACAAGTTTAATATATTATTTTAATTATACAATTAATTTTTAACTAAAGGAGGATTTCAAWTTGCCATGTCGTAATGAATTACCATCCAGTCGGTCGAGTACGGGTCGACTATCGACATAAGCCACCGGGGCTCTGCTTTATTATTATTATTATAATTTATAAATAGGTACATTCGAGTATTCGACTATGATAATATATCATTGTATAAACATTAAACATGTTTACTATTGTAGGACCTATACATATATTTGCTTATAATTTATAAATAATATTTTATAATTGAAAACTTTTAGATTTAATTTAATATAATTTATTGGACGGTAATAATATGCAATATTATAATATGTTGTAAATACTAATAGTAATAAAATCAACTCCGCCCCTAAATTCCGGGAAAAATTGAAATGACATGTATATTTTTAGATCAAACATATTGGCGGCATTGAACGTGTTATGCGGAGACAATAAACATGCCGTACGTACATATCGAATTGTTAAGAATACAGGAGCGCGATCTAATCTACGACCAAAATATTTTTTTCATGTAGATAATAACTCATTATAAAAAATCTAAAGGAAAAATATGACACCCCTATCCCCCCTCGAGCACGCCTCTGAACTAACATACTTATTAGTTATTGGTCGCAAGCACAACTTTAAACATTAATATAGTTATAACTTATAAACAATTATTGACTAATACTTATACATTCAGACATACAGTTATTTCTACAATAATATTTTAATGTAGGCAGGTACAGTCGTGACAGAACATAAATATTTTAAGTTTAATAATTATATGTACATAGAGATTACTGCATTACCTACCTATATTTATTTGAAAATGTATCATACTAATATTATTTAAACAACG